TAGAGATGAAGACAACAGATCAGAGGTGGTATTCAGCAGATTCTGAGCAGTTCGGGAGAACCAGTAGTGTAAGTTTTGAGTAGTTCAGAGAACCAGTAAATACCACCTCTGACGGGCCCACCCCCATCTATTCTCTGCCTCCCGAGTCCCAGCTGATCGGGAGGAAATGGGGATTTTGCAGTAACCTTCCCCTGGAGTGGGGAGGGAATGGAGATTTTACAGTATCCTTCCCCTGCCACACCCACCAAGCCACGCCCACAGAACCAGTAGTACAAATTTTGGATCCCAACACTGGATCATATGATTACAGGGGGTTGTGCAGCTATCATAATTCCAAAAATGGGTTATAAGTCACTCTGGGGAGATCCATTGTAACTTTGAATGGTCATTAAGTGACTGGTCCTAAGTTGAGGACTACCTGTGAAAGCTAATTGTATTTATTTATTTAGCATAGTTATATAATCACCCATCTCACAAAAGCATAACTCTAAGCAACATACAACATGGCAACTGGATAAAAATTGTCCAGTTTAGTAGGATCTAGTGATGGCTTCTCCAGTAGGAGGTGAACCAGAGGTAGGTTCCTACTGGTTTGGACTGGTTTGGCTGAGTAGGTAGTAACTTGGCCAGCCATACCCCTGAACTGGTTCTATCGGCAGTGCCTACGGCGGCATCATCTTAGTTTTTGGTTCTGCGCATGCGCAGAAGCAATTTTTTACCTACCGCACATGCATGCGTAGCACCGGCCCCCCTCCAAGCGTGGCCCTAAGCAATTCGGCAGTAGGAGAAGCTGGAACCCACCCCTGGGGTGAACCAATACCCCATAAGAGGGTGGTACAATCCCCTCTTGTCTGCCACTAGGATCTAACCACATGACATCTATCCGGGCTGTTTATATGAAGAGTGCATCCCGACAATTTAACCAGCTGATCCCAAGTTCTACAGTATGAATGAAAAGTGACTCATTTGTCTCCATATTCATTCTTGTCATGACATTTCTTTAAAGGGGGAGGGGAGTAGCGGAGAGCACAGTCTATATAAAGCAGAAAGAATTGTGCTTAGGCAGCAGTGAGATCATAGGTGTGTGTCGGGTGGGGAGAGGGTGTCCTCACAGTGTTTCCACCTTCGGATTTGCCTGAACTGGGGCCGCCTCAGGGATCAAAGTAAACAAGGCTTGAGAACAGCATGTCCAGAAGTCAACAGCCTCTGGAAGCTGGGAAAATGGCCTCATTTAAACAGGTCTTTGCTGCAATACCCCACAACTAAGGCTGTCGCAAACTGCCAGTGGATTGATGAGAAGGATCTACTACAAAATAAATGCTATTATTCTGACTTTCTCCATGAAAACAAAAAATAAAAAAACATACAAGCAGACTTCTTCAGGTTAAACAGCAATACCATGCAAAGCCATAATTTTTAGGCAAGTGAATGACAATGTCTCTTTCAAAGAGGAATAAGGATCACAAATTCACCTAAACCAAACCCCAAATGGTTGGCAGCACAATATACTAAACTATGGTTTATTACCGTAACTACAATGGTGAGGTTCTCATATGTGAGGGAAAGATAGAGAGGGAAAGCAGGGAGTCCAAACTCCACCCAAGAGGAAAAGGATATGGCCCTTCCTACCACCTGCTATCATGTAGAAAAAAATTAGACAGGATAACCTGATTGAAAGCTATAAATTAATCTATGGCATAGATAAAATATTTGGTTTTTTTCCCTCCCTCGTTGCAAACACTAGACACAGAAATCATACAATGAAGCTGACCGGATGGAGAATTTGAAGAAATGAAAGAGAACACACACCACAAAATTAATGTGAGGAATTCATTTCCACAGATATAGTGATGGCTTTTAATCTGGCTGGCTTTAAAAGAGGCCTCTGGTTGGCTCCTGAGAAACAAATTACTGGTCTGCTCCAACAAGACTGCACCTATATAATTGGGGTGGGGGGAAGCTTCCAAGCAAATAGCTTTTAATACTTGTAGTAAGTAACAATAGCAATAGCACTTATGTACTGCTTCATAGGCCTTTACAGTCCTTTCTAAGCAGTTTAAAGAGTCAGCATATTGCCCTGAATAATCTGGCTCCTCATTTTACTGGCCTCAGGAGGATGGAAGGCTGAGGCAACCTTGAGTCTGGTAAGACTCGAACTGCAGAACAGGTCTGCAATCTAAAAAAAAAAAGTTATTCTTTCCTGGATAAAAAGAAGGTGAAAGGGCTTGTGATAGACTAAAGGGACTCAAACGAATTACAAAATCTGGACTTCCATTAATATGCCACTGAGGAAGCACCGTGATTTCACCATAAAAGTTTTCTGGGAAATTGCTGGAACTTTGGTTAAAAGAAAAGCTAACTGATGATGTATTTCCCTCTGATCAAAAGGCCTCTCCTGCACATAGCTGTTCCTCTCAATCCTAGGGAAGAAGAAAAGGGATAAACTCTTGCTGATGGGGTGGGGCGGGGGTCAAAAGCCCTTTTGCAAAAGGCAGAAGCAGGTCCCCATGACCCTTCATCAATAGCAAGACTCTTATCTTTTTCCTTCTTCCCTAGGATTGAGAGGAAGGGCTATGTGTTTCACACTCAAACCAGACTTTGTAACCACTCACTAACAGTTCACACAACAAACTTAATCAACACCAAGCAAAATAGCTTGGCTTAGTCCGGTATCCTAACCAACTTTATCTTCCTTAATAAACAGTAATGTTTGGCCAATCATACCTAAAGTTGGAAAATAAGCAGTAGGCACATGGAAGGAGACGTCCAAGAAACGAAGAATATAGACTAGGCAGAGAAGTACAAAAACAATATAACCCAGAAGATGACAATAGCAGGCTTTCCCTTTTATTTTACCAATTTCATGTGGATTTTCATTGTTGAGCTTGTGAAGTGTGTTTAAATGTTAATGTAAACTGTGCAGTGCAGATGATGATGATGTTTAAACTGTGGCTTAATATAATGGATAAAACTAGCGAGGGGATTAATTAAAAAGCAGCAAGGGAAATTTCCCCTTCTTACCTGAGACATCACAATATCCTGTGGCATAGAGTTCCAAAGTAAATTATATCCGAACAAACTTGTTAGTTGGTCAGATGTAGCTGGCAGACCAACACAGGAGACAATGCTTTGATCTGGATTCTGGAGCAAATGAGGCTTTGGATGCTCCAGGGACTGTAGTAATGCTTCCCCAATCTGGGAGAGGCCTCATTGGCATACAGATTACTAAAATTCTGGGGGAAAGGGTGATAATCTGGAGTCAAGTTTTCCCTGCAGTTCATTAAATTGGTCCCCCAACAGATTTAGAATCTGCATTTTTGCAAGGTTGAAATTCTGCAATCACAGGATGAATTTCGGGACTCATCATTACTGACAGCCTAATGCTTCTGCTAGCTTGGAGACTAGCTTGGAGACTGCAATTCAAGGAATCACCCCCCAAAAAACCTGAACTTCAACTAAGAAAGAAAGAAAAAGACAATGAAAATAAGAGTAAATTACCAGAAGAAATCCACAAGGTTCATATTTTTGCCTCCACTATGAGACACCAGGTTTATCTCTGACTCCCTCAGCTACCAAAACCTCAGCTCTGGAATTAATCCAATCCCTACATCAAATCCTTTGCATTGCCTTTCCGAGATTGTTCCCATCTTGGATCAAAAGCCCCCTGCGCTTTAACTGAACCACCGGGATTCCTGAGAAAAGACACTTCAGACCTGTCACCTCTCAAAGCCACCTGTCAAAAGAATTGAATGTGGCTGGAGAGAGGAGGCCCTCCTAGACTCACCTGTAAGCCAGGCTCATGCACTCAAACAGGCGGGTGAGAGTGGGATCAATGCTTGGAGGATCTGGGATTTCTGGCACCGCCTGGTGATGGCGCCGTCGGGGCATCAAGTCGTTGTGCGGACATGACACCATGAAGTGACCACTGTGGATCACCTGGGAGCAGGCAGGATAACTCGAGCCAGGCTTGGTGCTGTTGAAGGCTGGGTTGTCTGAATCTGAATCAAAATCCGAGTCGGGCCTTGACCCCATTTGCAGTTCCATATACGGCCCAGATCGTCCAGGCTGAATGACAGCCATGGTGAAGGAAATGGGATTTGCTGGGGAGCTCCCTCCAGCCCAGCTGTCAAAGCCAACACAAACACCAGGATCTTCTTGCAGAGGCAGCCAGTTCCACATACGTAAATGTCTTGCGCAATTAACACTTAAGGTAAGGACATCATGGGCAGAACCTCACCTGGCACTCGCTAGAGCTCTGACTCCAACAGCAGTCTTTATAGATCAACCTGATGCGGTTCTGCCCCCTAGATGGGTGGACACAAAGAGTTGCCAGGAAAAAATTAACACTTTGTTAGCCAGTACAAGGGTGCATTCGGATAGCCAGAGGCAACGTAAAACAGCTCCAGATAAGCTGGCTAACTTTTGATATTGGTGCTTATACCTTTAATAGCAATCTAATCTTCTATCATTAGTGGGGCCATAATGTTCACTTCTCTGCTATGAAAAGAAGATTTGCTTACTGATTTCTGCAGGTGAAATGTCTGTTAAAGGCCAAAGGACTCAACTATGCCCCCCCCTCCCGCCCAGTCGGTTGCCAGTTTAATCTGAGTTGGATTGGCAATTATAGTTGTCTCATATTGTCAATGACGATAGAAAAAAAAACCTAAACTGACTTATAGACATATGTGCATAATCCCACCACCAAGCAGAGCTGTCAATGAGCTGGCAAAACAGACTTTGTTTGCATTGGCTAAGAACTGCTGGGTGCATGTGCAGGAAAAGAGAGTTGTATGCTATGTTTACCCAGTACTAATGCATCCCCCCCACCCCACCCCAGCATTCCCAGCAAGCAAACACAGATTAAGAGACAAAAATAAGTAAAATCATAGCAACCTATGTGCGGCACAGTATGAATCAACATAAAAAGCTATGTTCCCGGACCCTAGAAAAACAGCAACAACACAAAGGCAGCAGGGTTCTTTCCAGCCTTTGCCAAGATGGGGGAGGGCCATATGGTGTGCAGGATACTCTCATGAGACATGTGGAGCCTAATCATAGACGGACACATGGTCAGGGTCATTTTGGCTATATTCGCACAACATGCTTAACTTGATGGCTGACTTAACCTATTTTCTGTGTTTGCACACAATATAGTAGACCCTAAATCAAATTGGCTGGATTTGTACAATATGGTAAGCAACAAAAATTAACCTAGAGTAACACTAACCAAAGTAGCATATTGTGTGAATATAACTGCTGGGTTTGTAATCGGGTTAAGCAATTGATGAATAGTTGCGGGAGCCACAGGGATCCGTCTCAATGCAGGCAGTCCTTGACTGACAATCACAATTGGAACATGAACATCTGCCGCTAAGCAAGATGGTCGTTAACTGAGTCATGCCTGATTTTATGACCTTTTTTTGCCATACTCATTACGTTAGTCGCCATGGCCATTAAATGAATCCATCTTTCCCCATTGTCTTTGCTTGTCAGAAATGATTGTGGCCCCTGGTCCCTCCAGCAGCCAAATCATATGAGGAGGAGGCTTGGGAATCAGGGTCAGCATCAAGGCAACCTGTGGGAGAAGAGGGAATGGAGCTGTCAGACAGACACAGGTGGAGCCTGGGGTGTCCGTCAGCCCTCCAGGTTTGAAGGCGGCTGATGAAGAAGAGGAGGAACAGCTGGGTCCAGTGCCTGACACACAGATGCACAGAAGGCAGAGGAGGGGAGAGCAGTGGAAATCTATGGGCTGATCCTTGGGAAGGAACAGCCACCACCGCTAGCGAAGCCCCAGCCTAGCTCTGGGGATAAAAGGCAGGGGGCGGAGATGAATAGATGTGGCAGACATCTATTCATCTCTCTGCTGGACAGACCTGTTTGCCTGTGTTGAGAGAGAATTTTTTTTCCTGGGGCTGCTGGTGCTCCTAATAAAGGAATCATTGATTAAACTCCTCGTGTTTGGGGAACTGGGTCAGAAGACAAACAAGAAGGAATAATCACAAGTAGTAATCATGTGACCTGGGACACTTTGTAAAGACATGCCAGCTGCCAAGCACCCAAATTTTTTGTTTGTTTGTTTATCACATGACCACGGGGGCTTGGCAATGGCCCAAAGTGCAAGCACTGGTCATAAGTCACTTTTTTCAGCCACGTCAAAACTTTGAATGGTTGCTAAACAAATTGTTGTAAGTCAAAGACTGCTTGGAACTTGAGGACTATTTTTTTCAAGGTCATATAAACTGAAACTTTAGTAGAACTATGCACATGCCTATGTTCTCTGGGAAACCCCAAGTAGCTGGACAATAAGACCCTGAAGTGGGGATGGGGTTCATTAAAGCAAAGGTTCCTTCTTAGGAAACCAACAGAAAACCAAAACTTACCACATAAATGCACAGTCTATACCTGCCTTTGAAGCTTTTTTTTTTTTGCTTATTGCCCCTTTCAACTGACTGAATTTGGCATGATTGGGTGCCCTAAATTGAGCAGCCACTTGTCAGTGATGCTGTTTTTCACCATTGCCAAAAAGACATTGTCTGCAATAGTGGAAAGAAATCTCAGGTTTTATTTTTGGACAATTGACAACTCAACCACTAGGGGCAGCAGAAGATCTGAAGTAGTCCAACTGGCACCGTCAAAAGTCTGCGTAGGAGAAGGAACCACCTTCCTAAAAGAATGAATTGCAAAGCAGTTCTTAATCCTTAAAGCTTTTCCTCCTCTAATTTTTGCTCCACAGCAAGCAAAATTAAAGGGTTGCCGTTGTTCCCCAACATGGAAATGTCTTGACAAATGGGAGACCAACCGAAGCTCTCGGTATAGAGCTTTCAAAGTAATAACCATCATTTTAAATTGGGCATGGAAGCCTACTGGTAATCAATAAAGGGACTTCAGGACTGGTGTTATTTTTCCTGGCAGGATACTCCTATCAATAGTCTAGCCACCACATTCTGCACCAACTGTAGCGTCTGGGTCATCTCCAAAGGCAGCTCCGCAAACTATGCATTATAGTAACCTAACCAGATGGTGATCAAAGCATGAGTTACAGTCAGAGTATCTTGGTCAGCGTTATAAGCTGAAGTTGAAGAAAGTTCCCCCCTGGCCATAGCACTTACTATTTTAACAAGAGCTGAAAGACAAGAAGGACAGGGAGTCACAACCTATTCAAGGTGCTAGTCGTAACTTATAAAGCCCTTCATGGTATTGCATCTGGGTACTTGAGAGACCGCCT